TCCTTTTTACAGTCCCATTCCAGTTATGCAGGATTTGAAGCCTATCTCACCTACCTGTTTCTGATGCGATTGTATAAAAATTACAGCATTTGCCTAGCATTGTTTCTGCCAAGGACTCTTGCATGCTTGGATTTAGCATACTACTTGATTCCCAGGAGGCTTTTCTCTCAAACAGGCTCCATTATAGAAGCTAAGAAGCATTCTTGACCCTTCCTAGGGAAATCTTTGTATTTTTTGCTGTAATGATTTACCAGGAGAAATGAAGTATGTCTGTGCACCTCAGCATTACGATGTGCAGCTCAACGATACCTGGATTCCCATCTGTTCTTCCAGGGCTGCTTCTGTCTTCTTATCCAACAAATATGTACATGGTCCTTTAAATTGATGAAATACAGAGGCAGTGCTGGAAGCAGAGACCAGTCTGCAGAAACACCTTTCCCAACAGATTTCTTAGTTATTGGATAAGAGGTGTGCCATTAAATCCCTGGCTTCCCAGCTGCCTCCTGAACTGCCTGTGGAGTTGTCCTTGTAGGATTAGGCAGCAACTGATTGAGACTTTTTCAGCACTTTGGATTCAGCTGCATCATTTCCATCAAAATCCCTTTTACACAGCAGAGAGCAAAAGCCAAAAAGTTGGGTTTGTGTTACATCATATTAAAATATATTGACTTCATAGGGGAGAAGCCTCCCTGAAACTCCAACAAATTATTTTGGTCATGCACAAAGAAGTCCTTTGGACAAAACCATAAGGCACTTTGGTGGCCTGTGGTTCTGTGAAATCAGCTGGGTACTTCACAGATCACCCAGAACTGCCTCAGTCCTTTCTGCTGCTGTCTCCTGTGTTGGAGCCAAGCTCTCTTACTCCCCACTGCATTCCAGCAGCATAGAGAGTAGGAGGTCAGTTCTTTAACACTGATAAAGATTGTCCCATGGTGCAAGACAGCCTAAGAGATGATCTCATCTTTTTTCATCACCTGGGGATGATGATTAGAAAGGAAAAGTAAGAAAAAAAGTCTTTGAGTAATTCAAAGTCCATTTTCACTGTACTTTATCTTGCATCCTCTCACTTGTGCCAAGCGGGACAGAGCTGAGGTGAGTTTATTTTCCATCTGCCTGATTTTGGCAATATCTTCTTGGAGTCTACTACTTAAAGCTGGAGAGGTCCTGAAGAAAAAGTAATGCAAAAGCAGTGGCTGTCTGCCCTTGCCCCATCTATAGCTTTGGTATCTGGGTTACTCTGTTTTGTCTGGTACATATCTGTGATATCCTTTCTATTTGTATCCAGCTCTGTTTCCTGTCTACACTCACCAGCACCATTGTATCTCCTGGTCTGTGCAGTGGTCTGAAAGCACAGATGTACACATAGGTCAGAAGTTGTCAACATCTGTTTTTTAACTGGGACAACTAGGATAAAGACTTAGTGTGGATAAGCTTCCTTGACCAGCAAGAGCTGGAGATGGGGAGAAGCACATTCCATCATGCTGCAGCTTTGAATAGAAGGAGCCGCAGGTCTTTCTCTTGGTCGGTTGCAGTTCCAAAACCAGAGTGGAGAGAGTCCTTCTCCTCTCCAGAACTGAGAAAGGGGATTTTCATGGTCCCAAGTGCCGTGCCAGTGAGCTGGCTGGCAGTTCCAGGAAAGAAGCTCTACACCAGGCTGGCTTGGTCCCCAGATCAAAGCTGTTATCTTCTCATTCCTCGGGGACTTAGTGGCTTCAGCACAAACAGCAAGACCTCAGCCTCTAGATCTCTGCAGTGTGTGACCCTGACACTTCACAGCATAGACCTTGTCCACAGCTGGACACAGTGTTCCACTTGGTGCTTTCGCTGAAAGTGACAGCACCACAAATCACCTTCTTCAGGGAAATCCTCAACACCCTCTGGTGGTGTCCCAAGCCCCACTTCTGCCCATTTTTAACAGTGCAGTCCTCATTTTGCAAGCTGAAGCATGTGCGTAACAAAAGTGCGTACACCTCATCAGGTCCACCTAAAGCAAGAAGAGCTTTACATTTTTTTTTTCAAACATGAAGTCTCAGTATCCTAAAAGTACCTTTCAAATGCAACTGCAGGATCTGCATAATTGAAACTTTTGCCCCAATTTGTTACCTTCCTCAGGCAGTTCCTGACAAATGAAGATTATAAGTGAGGGTTTGTAGTAAACATAACTTAAAAAAAAGGCATCTTTAGTGTTTTCAAAGCAGTTTTGGTGCTGAGCACAGAGAACTCATTTCCATTTCAACTGAAATGCCATTACGTTTATTAAATTGGGAGTGGCATTAATCCTAGAACATAACCAAATCTTTTTGTGATTTTACATTTGTCATAACTGAAAGATCTCATTAAATATTTCTCTATAACTCTAAATAACACTGCCTGTCATGTAATATTTCTCTTAGATTTTCTTCAGTGACTTTGTATCAGAGCTGAAAGTGAGCTATCACAGAAAATAAAATGGGACTAAAATAACAGTCCTTTGTATTAAATTTAACATTTGGCTTCTGTCCCAGAGTTTTCCACATCCATATTAGAATCAGATGGTAGGCTAAGATGAAAAGATTTCCTGGATGGATTTTATTCTGATTCTTATTAAAGGGCTGATAACAGACTGAAGGCAAGATACTCGTTGTAGTAAAAAAGCCTGCCTAATATCAAAGGCTGGATGGACACGCTGACCTGTATAATTGTTAGGCCTCCCTACTTGATCACATTTCAGTATCATAAAATGATTCTGCAAGTGAACGTGAAGTATAAAAATTCTAGTGTGAGAGCAGAAAGCCCAGGCTGGCAGGTATTGCTGCTGTGGGCACACTGCTTTATGCTTTGTAGCTGACCCAAAGCCAAGTCAAGGGTTTAATATCAAAAAAGCAGTGTTGGTGACAGCACACTGTAGCTATATTTTTTTTAATTCTCAATTATTTACATTCATGAAAGGCACTCCCTTGTCCTGACTTACCTGTGGAATTGGTATCACGTGTGATGTGACAGCATAGGACATCCCCACTGGTATTGCTCAGCCTTCTTCAGAAGCTGTGTATCCTCTGCCCTACCCCCAAACCAGCACTTGCCCCAGGTTCCTTTGGCAATCTAGAGACAGAAAGATCAAAGGGACCTAAATACTCTTCAGAAAGCAATTTTCCCTTTACCCAAAGCAGCTTTGTATAGTACTTATGTATTATTGGGCTTAAATTGTACAAATATTTTCAGACTCTTGAGTGTTCTATGCAAAAACAATTACTTTTGATAAAATGTAGGAGTGATGCTTTGTAATGTTACTGTTCTGCTGTAGTGGAGACTGCAAGCATGATATTGGAGCTGCAAATTAGATTTTGCAAAGCAGCACTTCTGTAAGGAGTCTGCTGCTTCAGACCAACAGGGTATAATCAGCATTTTCATGGGGATATTTTGCCTGTGTTTTGTCGCAGCATCTTCAGCAACAGGAGAGCAGCAATTGCAGGCTGCATTGACCATTTCAGCTTGTGATCACACGGGATATTGGAGATTAAATATGCTTTATAGGTATTTTATGCTGTTTTTCTAAGTGCACCTTTTTAAAGCAACTGGTACGTAGTTTGAATTTATAGGCAGAGAATCATTTCATCAGCACTGGGTGTTTACAGCACTAATGTCAACATCTGAGCTTATACCCAGTGCTCCTCTTACAATCTGTGGAGAGAAATGTGCATGTTTACAGGGGTAATTTATCTGATTATTTTAGACATCTTCTTTCCAGTGAGAGAGATTGTATCAGAAGAGCCAATTTCTCTCCTTAGCAATAATTAATCCTAGCATATTTAGTTCAGGAGGTGTTAGCTGTAGTTAGGTGACATGGATCCCATACAGCATGTTTCTGAATAGAACTGTATTCTCACTTGGCTACTAACTCTGTCCGTATGAATGCTTTTTTTTTCCTTTTATAAATTATCAGATTATCATAGGGAACACATAAAGAGATCTGTTGTGTATGTAAGAAATGATTGGCTCGGTCCCTACAAGATTTTTACCACTGACAGTTACAGCTACCTTAATGCTTCCTGTGAAAGCTGTTTTGGTAGTTGTATTGATCCTGTCCTCCTCAGGTACCATTTCAATACTAAACATCTTTTTGGATGAAGAGTGCGTTCTGTTGGGTACTTGGAAAATTCTAAGGGACTTAACATTGGGCAAAAATCTCTAAGAGAAAATGGGACCTCCTTGCACTCTCTTGAAAACAGCTTCAGGGAGGTCAGGTGAATGGGGCTGTAGCACATACATGCCAGTTTTCAGGAGTGTTACCACAAGTGACGTGAGGGATAAGCAAGCATAATGTGTACTGGTGAACAGTGTTGATGTTCTGTTTATTTGAGTTCACCTGGTGGATTCATTCAAATAGAAGAAAAGCCCCAAAGCTGGTCTCCTCAAGATGAGTGTACCATATATTACAAGGTACAAAGGGTAAGTAGCATCTTAGGAGACAGAAGAATTTCCTGTGAACAGCCCTCAGCAAAAAAAAAAAAAAAGTAGAGTAATACCTACTAACTAAAGAATCAAAGTTATTTCTGAAGTTCATAAACAGTGTCAGAGAATAGGAGTAATAAGGTGTTATTGGTCCCATATTTGTCATTTGTCACTATATCATACTGATGCAAGCAGATTGATCTTCAGAGGGTGATGGCTGCTGGAAACATGTTCCTTGAAAACCTTTCTTGTTCACTGCCCCAAAATCTAGAATTGCTTTTGGAAGTCTTTGCTTTGGTGTACAGTTCTGATATCTGGATTACTGACGTTGGAAACCTCAAGTTTCCCTTGTATGTCCACTAAGCATTACGTTTTCTCTGATTAATCTTCTGGTTGATTATGTAATTAATTTTTCTACATGAATGTGTATTCTGTTTAATTAATTCGTTCACCTCAGCTTTGCTTATGCCTATTCCTTCCTTTGTCAAGGTCTCACATTAATATTTGCAGCATTACCTAGTGACACATATATGCATTTTCTTTTTCATATTTTTTTTTTCCTTTTACAGATTTAACTGTAATTGCACCATGCATTTTGAAGACTTCACCAACAGATCAGCAGCTGAACAAGCTTGCAAGGAGGCTGGGACCCGAATGGGAGCATGTGGTTCTGTGCTTGGGTTTGTCCCATACTGACATCTATCGATGTAAAGTCAATCACCCTCACAACCTGCAGTCACAGATTGTAGCTGCACTTGTCCTGTGGAGACAGCGTTTGGGGAAAAAAGCAACAATCCAAAGCCTGCAAGCCAGTCTGATAGCAGAAGAAGTGGATCCTTCTGTGATACAGTACATGCTTGAGGGAAGCCATGCTATTGATCGAGAGCTTCCACGTACTTCGTTAAATTAAATATAGAGAGTGGAAATGTATGTTGAAGATTGGATGCCTCAAACTGGAAAAAAAAATGGGGTTGGGAACTGTGATTTTATTAAGCTTAAACATTCCAGTTTTCTGTGCCATCTTGTGACTTGTAATTCTTTTCATGCCAGATTAATTTTTAGCAGGCATTAAAAAATGAATCATTGTTTCCTGTTCACTTTTGTGCTATTTCAGTGGGGATATAGGGTGACAAAGTTCTTGCAAGCAGGCAGCCCTGCAGTGAGTTCAGCAAGGTTTCTGATTTCACTGAGGGAGCAACACTTGGTTTAACCTCTTTTCTGGACTATGTAGGAACCTTTTTTAGTGCTGTTTCATGCTATTTCCCTGATATCCCAGCAAGAAATGAAAGTAATCACTAATTTAACAATTTTACAACAGTTATTGCAGGTGGCTAATTTCACATTTATAAAATTTTCAGCACATACAGTTTCTTGCTAGGATAGATGGCTGCTACCTTAGTCTGCCTTTGAAAATGGCCCTAAGTGGAAGTAACAGAAACCTAGCATGCCTGTGAGAGTTTCTCTTGTTATTATTTAATTGGTGTAGGTTTCTGCGAAGAGACAGGCACTGGGCACAGATGCTGTGTCACAGGTGAGAAGTTCTCAGGGAAGACACACAGTAGAAAAGTGACCAGAAGATAGGCAAAACCAGGCAAACAGAGCAAGAAGCAGCCTAAGAAAGGAGACAACTTCTAAGTTGTCCATGTTTGTCTCTACTAATAAACTGGGAGACAGTCTGGTGCCTGTTGAGTTTTTGGGCTGTGCTCTGGATCCAGGCACTCTTGTGGCACAGTTAAGCCAAGCATCCATAGGCACATTGCTCTGCCCACTGCATGCCAAATAGGGTAGTGAAGCTTGCAGGTCTTTCTGGTCAAGATGAACTTTTCAGTGCTCTTCCTCCAGCTTATACTATCTCCAGTTCTTTGCCAGCTGTACCAGCGGTGAGGATAAAATTTTATGCAAAAGAACAGTAAAGCTTGGGCTCTTCTCCTCCTTCCCTTCTGTCTAGGAGATTTTACTCCTGCTGGAAAAAAACACTGAGATTGTTGCTGGCCAGGTAGGTGGGGATCAATCCACAGGGTATGTATCCAAAGGCAGTGGAAGTGACCAGCTGCTCTCTGAGGCCTAATGACAAGAGGCAGAATACGTTTTAATTCTCCTTGAGCAGTTTGCTGTACAGTAAATGCAAAACAAAGTTTCAATGCAGATTTTCCAGGTCTGTTTATGAACAAGCTACTATAGAATGTTTCTTCTACAGAGTCATTGCCAAAGAACTTCTCATCCTACAGAATTTGCTCTGTTTTATTTAGCAGCTTAACAGCCTTGTCTGAAGTCTTTATTGGGGCAAGAATGAACTTTACTGCTTTTTAAATTTTTTTATTTGTTATTACTATACCTAGATTTTCAAAGACATAGGAAATTAGGAGAGACAAAGAGATTTTAAAGAAATCCTATATGCCTTGGTTTTCAGAAGCATGGAAACAAAGAACATATCCTGACAGGATCTGCTCTTGCGGGTTCTGAAGTAATTTGGTAATATTTTGGTTTTAGTCTTCAGTATACAGTTCTGACCTTCTGTAAATTGTGATCCTGTCATACCTCACTCAGATCTTAATTAATCATATTCATATCTTAACTATTCATATTCTACTTCCAGAATTTAATTCTATCAACAAATTCCAGATAAGCAATGTAAATCAGTTTAGGGTTTGGGATTTATTTTTCTCGTGATGCTTTAATGCCAGCATGTTCTTTTTAGGTTGAAAACCATCCCAGAGTAGGTGTACAGACATTTGGCAAATTCGTATGAGCACAGCCCAGCATAGGGAGTGGGATGAGGACTTGAAAGCAATTCTGACAGTGACATTGACAGGAGCATGGTTTGCATGTTAGGGAAGAGAGGCAAAGCAGTCTCCCTGGCAGCAGTCTGGAGGAAAAAAAGATGGAGATGGGGGACAAGAGAAACTACTGAAAAGGTGATTTAGAGGAAGAAGTTGGCTCCCAGTGTCATAAATGCAAGTACCTTGTCTTGTTCTGAGCCAGCATGGTCCAAGTCTCAACACAGACTGTCTCCAAGAGAGTTCATCCCCGGTTAACCCAGCATGAGCACAGTGCTCCGAGAAGACGACCAGTCTAGCGATAAAGCAGTGTAATGGGCGCAGTCAGGGACTCTGGTCTTCTTCTTTGGGTGAACTTTGCATCTCATATTCTTCATTTTATGGAATCATAGAATGGTTTGGGTTGGAAGGGATCTTAGATCTTAAAGATCATCTAGTTCCAACTGGGGATGCCATGGGCAGGGACACCTTTCACTAGACCAGGTTGCTCAGAGCCCCATCCAGCCTGGCCTTGAACACTTCCAGGGATGTGACATCCACAACATCTCTCATCCACAACATCCACATCATCTCTAGGCAGCCTGTTCCAGGGCCTCACCACCCTCACAGTAAAGAATTTCTTCCTAATATCTAATCTAAACCAACTCTCTTTTAGTTTGAAGCCACTGCCCCTTGTCCTATCATTACATGCCCTTGTAGGAAATCTCTCTCCAGCTCTCTTGTGGGCCCCCTTTAAGTACTAGAAGGTGCTAAAAGGTCTCCCCATACCCTTCTCCAGGCTGAAGAAGCACAACTCTCTCAGCCTTTCTTTATAGGAGAGGTGCTCCACCCCTCTAATCATCTCCGTGGCCCTTCTCTGGTCTTGCTCCAATGCTTCTATGCCCTTCCTGTGTGAGGACCCCAGAGCTGGATGCAGCACTCCAGATGGGGTCTTATGAGAATGGAGAAGAGGTAGAGAATCGCCTCCCTCGACCTGCTGGCCATGCTGCTTTTGGTGCAGCTCAGGATACAGTTGACCAATGTCAGGTTATCCATAACTAATATATTTAGAGTCTTTTTAATGGTTGAGAAAAGAACCTTCAGTAGGTATGAAGTTTCATGCCAAATAAGCCTTCCTTCCAAGACAGGTATCCTTCTGAGTATCTGTTATGGGCCACTGGAAACCTGATGGGTGAATATCATATCAGGTAATTTCTCCACCTTCTTTAGGTGGGATAAATGCTACATCCCTTGCACCTGGTACTGAAGTTACGGAAGCCACAGCTAGACAAGGAATATAAAACCTGGCCTCTTGTATTGTAGAACAAAGCACATCATTCATAATTTATAGTTGCTTTCACATTCCCAGGCCCTAAATACTTCAGTTGCAAATATTGAAGGGAGAGGTTTACTTATTTTATGAGATTGTTTCCACTGCTGTTATTTTTAAATTCATGGAAATGTTCCTATTAGACTCTTCGTTTCTATTAAAGCTTGTTTTTGCACTACACAAATGCAGGAATACATTTAACTGACAGTAGTATTCCTTCAACCCAGTGGATTTTTCCATCCACTTAAAAATTAATGCTTTATTTTTACACAAGGATGCAATTAAGACAATTTAATTCTTTAGATGTATAGCAAGGCCTCTTATTCTCTCATAGAATAGTCAAAAGATCTTAAAATGTTTATTCTTTTCTGCTAATTTGGGAGCAAATGTTATTTATTTAATTTTACTTGTAGAGAAGCCTGTGACTTGAGTGTTGTTCAGGAGTGAGGCAACTCAGTGACTGAGTTTCCCCATCTCCCTTTGCCTCGAACTTCTTTGGGCCAGCAGTCTGGGCAATGACATGGGGCTTCCACAAGGTCTCCTGTCCTCCCTGCCTGCTGTGCTCCCAGGACTGGTACCTGGGACAGGCTGAAGGCAAGGGGCAGCCCCCAGCAAGGACTCATCCCAATTCCACTGCTCATCCCTTGCAGTGACGTGCGTGGCTGCTTCAGGCTTTGGGGTAGAACATGGGCTTGGGAAAGATGAGCCAGCAACAGCTTCTCTATGATGTATTTAGGCTTCTTAACCAATGTTGAAAAATCCTCTCTCATGAAAGTGGTGTTATTGGTATCTACTTATTTGTGGCAGTATTCATGAGCTCTGAGAGAAGAAAGCATAAAGGTGGCCGCTGTTGGACCTTCCACTGCAACTCACGGCTTAACTTCTAGTCCTTGGAAGAAGTCGTCATTGATTTTCTTCCTTGGTCTCTAAAGGAGACTCTGATATCCCATTTTAACTCTTCTAGGTGGTAAATAAGCTTTATAAAAGCTGTTTTGTACTCTGCAAGTACAAAACTCTTAGCATGGACTCTTGGCATGGCAATAGGCAAGGTCTAAGAGCACTAATTCCCGCCTGTGTGAGCTGTATGGATGATCACAAAGGAAGGATCTTCTCAGGGCAAAACCATGTCAAGGAGGCATTACACTGTGTTTAAGAGCGGCTGGAGTGTAGAGTAAAAAGAAAATGCAGTCATCTGTGAGCCACTTCTCCCAGATATTGTGGAGGAAATTTCCATCTGAAGTCATATTTTATGACAGTCATTGATCTGTGGAATAAAACATTTTGCAAGAGGCTGGAAAAATAAACAAAGTCGTATTATCTTCGAAGAAAATAAAAGGCATCTCATGCTAAGTATGGTCATGCTGCCAATTTTTTTTCTTACTGGAAGTGAAAACAGTCTCTCAGAGCTCATCTGTTTATAAGCTTATATTCTCTGTAGATACAGGCCAATGTCAAGGCATAGTAGAAATAAAGCTGAAAGGGCAGTTCCTAAAACCTTTGTCTATTTACATTGAATATTCAAAAGCTTTGTCCAAATTTGACTAAATGAAAAGAATTTTCACTTTCAAAGTGTCTTGCTATCACCTAAGGTCTAAAGATCTAAAAAGAAAACCAATGATTTGGCATTTTTTTCCTGAATACAGTGTCTTTTTTAACTACTTGAGAAAAATTAACATTTACCAGAAACAAAAATAAACAGATTAAAAAATTAGTATGTGTTTTAGGCGAATTCACTTCTGAACCTAGCATTTTAGTTGTGAAAAAAGATGAATTGCAATTTTCCTTTGAAGCTGTTGGGTAGAGCTTGATGATGGCACAGGAAAATTCCTGTCTCTCCTGCAGCAGTGACTACATTAAAAAACATCTGCACATGTTATAGATACCATTTCTGATACTGATATCTCATCCAAGCCTCAACAGCAAAGAAACAAAAAGTCTCTTATTAACTTCAATGCACTTTGAATTAGTCCTACTTTAATTGGAACCTGCTGAAGCATGG